AATAAATAAATAAATAAATAAATAAATAAATAAATAAATAAAAGAGCAGGCTTTCTAGCTCATCCACCATGCCAGTTGTTTGTTTTGCTTCTGATGGGAGCTGATCAGAACTTTAAAGGTTATTGTTCGTTAGTGTGTGCTTACAGCATTTGAAGGTTTTGCAATCCTATTGTGGTTTTCTTGCTGTGTGAATTTGTTGGGAAGAGAAGAACATGATTAGCTGAAAAGATGCAAATTTCACTAGAGCATGCCTGTCTTCAGTGCTGGGAATGTTTTGTATCTTACACCTCTAGGCCCTAGGCTAGTACCTGAGAACATGCAGCAAGACTAATACTACAGTTTTGTTGAAACATAAGTAATCTCTCAGGGATGATATTTGAAGGCATAAGTCACAAAACAATCCCACACCAATTTGTAATTATGATTAATAAAAGAGTTATTTATCTAAAGGAAAAACTTACAAATCACCGTCCTAGACAACAGCCCTCTGAGGAATCAGGAAAGTAGTCTAGTAGCTGGAAGCAGAGTCTGAAGCAAGAGAGGGAGTGCATGGCTACCACTGCTTTTTAAAGCAAAAGAGATCACTCCCAAGTGGGCTGGTATCTTAAAGGCAAGGAGCTCCTGCAGCAGATATTCCAAAGAAAATGGACTCTTCCTCCTCTGTAAGTCATCAGCTGCCAATAGTATCTCAGTGAGTGGTGGGACTTCATGAGTTTCCCCCATTCCAACTCCTACAGCTCATCCATGCAGACTTTGCCTGGCCTATTGCTATCTAGGTTTTATGCATGCAGCCACAGCCACTGTGAATTCATATGACCTGAACAGCTGTTTTGCTGCAGATAATCATTTTGCTGAAAGGTATGAACACTTCCTACTATGTGTCAATCTATATTCTACTGACTTGCAGAAATTCATACTCTTGCTTCTTGCAATTAACTGACAAGATGGTACTTGTCTGATCTTATTGATAAGAAGAGTAAGAGACAAGAAGGAGAGTGAATTCCAATTCTAATTTCAGTGAACAAATAATCATATTCGGTGAGCTATTTCCTTAGCCCTTTCTGTTTGTCATGTGTGTGAGGTTTAGGTATGTGTTATTATATTTTATCTTCACTATGTTAATGTAAAGAAGAGGTTCTCCCCCAGTTTTACATATAAAAGAATATAATCTTAGGCCTTTTAATAGCCTTCCTGTGGTTAAAAGGTAAGCAAATTAGCTATATAAGCAACTGGAATCGAAATACTTGTTTCTGAAGTCTAGGTCTAAAAGATTTTATTGCATCCCGTTATAGCTGTATAATTGCTGCATACATAAATATTGACAAATTTAACCTTGTTTTTGTGTTGTATATGCCGGTGTATGTAATGTGTGTATGTGTATGGGTACTTGTGTAGGTATATGTATGTGGGTAAATATACATAAGTATGGAGGCCAGAGGTCAATGTCAGGTGTCTTTCTTGACAGCTCTTATCTTAGTGTTTGAAACATGGTCTTTCGTTGGCTCTGGAGATCACCAATTTTAATACCCTGGCTAGCCATTGAGTTTCAATAATCCTCTTATCTATGAATACCCAGTTAGAGTGAGAGATATTGGCAAATTTTCAGCTTGTCCTTGGGTGCTGAGGATCCAAACTCTGGTCCTCATATTTTTATGACAAGTGTTTTACAAACAGTGTCATTTTCCCAGACCCTAATTTTTTTTTCTGAAATAAAACATCTAGATATACACAGCAAGTTTATGGTAGACAGTTTCCTACATCATGGCTGGAATAAAATACTTAGGAAGAATTGTGATTGTACACAGTTCTCTCATAGAGAGAATTCCACCCCCTCCCTCACAGAAGAGAGTAAGAATAAACCCCAGACTAAATAGTAGTACAACTGGGAAGCTAAGTGTCAAAGACAACATTATCTTTTTGAGTGTAATTTTTTTTTCTCTTCTGAAATTGTTGTCCAAATGGGGCCAACATTTACCCACCAACAGTTCTGAAAACTGTAATGCCCAAGAAAATAAAGTAGCAATTTAATTTCAATTCAGACAATATATTTTATATTAATAAAATGTCAGATTCCATTTAAACTGAAAATAATGTATGTGTATATCTGGGAGTGTGTTTTAACAGAATATTATGGAAAACACAGCTTTGGATTTCACCTATTGGAGATGGTTAAGACAGTTCAGAGTCTGAATAGTAGATACAGACTTATGATATTTTGTATTTTCCTAAATAATTTTCTATATTTCTTCTTGCTTTTCACTTTCAAGGCTTAATATTATTTTTTCATGAAAATTCATTAGAAATTGAGACAGCAATGTCTTACTATGCATCTAACCCTGTGATCCTCTACTCTGCCTCTCCCCTTTTCTGTCTTCTTTTCCTCCTGTTCTCTTCTTTGTTCATTGTCCCTTTCTCATGAAAACACACAGAGAAACACAGAAAAGTTTAATCAGTCTGTTTTGCAAAATCTGGTGTCTATTTAATATTTAGAGAAAAGAAAATTTATCTAAGAAACGGACCATCTCCCTACTTGAAAAAAAAACCTTCATTTTCTTTTCTAAAACAGCATTGTTTGTTTAAATAAATGGAGCATTTGTTGGTGAATCTTGTGCTTCTTGAAAACATAATTAGTTCCATTGCACTCTTTTTATTAGCATGTGCAATTGTAATTTAGCTGAGAGTCTTCCTTTTCGGGAGTTAATGAAGTCTGCTAAGAGGCACACTGCTACAGCGAAAAGCAATTGGTTGGAGTGCATCAGTGTGGAAGAATCCATTACCAGCGAGGGCTCTAAAAGGGCAGCTTTTTCTTAATGCCATAGCCATTGAAAGGGCATCTTTCCTGCCACAATATTAGCATGTGTCATCGTTCTCTCTTCTTCCTATTCTCATGCAGTTTCCTAATGACGAATGGGGATAGAATCCCACCTTGCTATCAAAAGAATTTATATATGGGGGATTTTGAAATTGTGTGCTTTCTTATTTATAGAATCTTCCTGCCCAAAGAAGCATCTTTATTTTAAACATCTTTAAATGTTTTTTTTGAAGTGTTCAAATATATGTTTTATTTTATTTGGATTTTTCTAGTGGGAAACTTAACATAATTAAATTCAAATTCTGATTTTTTTTTTGGTTTGGGTGGTGATGTAACAATTGAAAATGAGAGATGATTATGATAAAGAAATGAGTTACAGTTATTTTGGATTTGTTTTATGGGTTATTTTAAGGCAGTAATTCAGCCTCATACTGATGTTGAAATCACCATCAAAAGCACCTATCTATTTCTTTTTCTAGTTGGAAATTTTTTTATTAGAAAGTATTAGAAAATTTCAGTGTAGTAGAGAGAATACGCTTGCTCAGCTGTCAGGACAACATTACTCCTATTATTTTCTGCTCAGAACCTCTGGCCGCTCATAACCCAGGAAGCCAGAGGGAATCGTTTGCTCACTCTGATGCCATACTCTAAATGTGTGGTATCCACAGTTCATAAATCCCTTGATGAGACTTCCCGGTCCTGGGAGAAGCAGTGGGGGAAAGCTGGAAGATGATACCATGTGGTTAATTCTGGGAGCTAACTCCTTGCCCCCGGCTTCATTCTTCCTAGATCGCAATCAGTGGTGGATCCCACAGCCCTGAAGCGCATGGATAAAAATGAAGAAGAAAACAGGCAGCCTTTACTTTCTCTGGACTAAGAACTTCTCCACTTCTACCCCACGGATTAGAAATGGGAGGTATTGGCTTTCAGCAACAGGGACAGCACTGTGGCATCTACCTGCTGGAAAACCTTATTCATGTTAATGTAGCATAATGCATAAGGCATCTGGCTTCCACATTTGCCTAAACCATGGGTGCCCCGGGCTAGATTTTAAAAAGTCAATAATTTATTCTGTAAGTGCCAAGTTCTTTGTAAATACAATATAGTCTTCACATCAAGTTTGTAAATTTTGGTAGTAAAGTAATTTGAGAAAGATTGACTCACAAGTTTGAGCCAGTGAAATGGACTATAAAAAGAAGCATAAAGACACATATACTATGAAATTTAATTAAATGTATCCCTGTTTCCTATGAAGCCATATTTCTGCTATCATAGTGAATTGTTTCATCGTCTTTCTCTGAAACACTGTCAATATTTAAACATACTTTGGGCACAGCAAACAATTATTCCAGGAAATTGTTATGATTAATGTTTTCCTGTTTAGTGGTTTTCTTTTCAGAGGAAGTATTACACGACCATCCCTGATTGCATTCTGAAGAAAAATAGTGGATGAGGAGCTGGTGAATGAAAAACCTCGATGTTTCTCTGTTGTTTGATTCACAGAGACTTGCAGGAAAATGCTTTTCCCCACTCAAAACACAGCATTCTGATAGAGAATGGATATTTGTCTAAACTGTTGCTTTCAGTGTCCTCTTTACTTAAGAGTCCCATTGTAATTCTTGTCTGGTGTACTTTAGAATATTTTCATCCAAAATTTGACTAGGAAAAGATGAACTAGTTCCTGAATAATTTCAACATTCAGCGTTGAACATAAAGTTTATCCCTTACAAATAGGGTCCTAATTTCAAATCACTGCGTGCTTGTTAAAAATATCAATATTCACATAACATATATTTTCATTGAGTTTCAATAAATTCTTGATATGATAGGCATTGAGATATCATGGAAAATGACTTTCAGTGAAGTAAAGAAAAAGGAAAACATGAGACAGACCTCAGGATACCTATTCAAAGGATTTCATATATCAAAAAATGAAATCTGGACTATGTGGCACCTTAACGAGTGTGTTTTCCCCCTTTAAAGACACAATGAATCTCCATATAGCATAGATAGCAGGCAATAAAAAGCAAAAGAGTTTGTTTTAAAAAAAAATAAGTTAGCATGTTCTTTTATGCTCACATTTTTTTGAGAAAAGATTAAAAGTACATGATATTTGACAGATACTTTGAGAGTACTGGAGGGCATCTAAAACAGCATACAGTAGTTTAAGTCTAGACTCAAATTTGTGTATGATTTAAAGTTTTATTTCATAAGTTATATAATTATAGCCTATGTTAAACATCTTAATTTAAATTTCAAATTCCTATGTAAAAAGGCAAGATTGTTATCACTTTCCTGGCATGGTGAATTTTGAGATTGAGAATTTACCATTTTTATTTTAAAAAAATTATCTTCAAGAACTTTTGGAAACTAGTACAAATAAAGTCATATAAGAGCCTTGATACACACATATGCCAACATTTCAAAAATCCAGCTACAATCATGATGCTCAAAATCTCAAAGTTGAATCAACACACCAGTCTGAAGCAACATGGGCTGTCTAATGATTATAAAACTGTAAAGATTATGAGTTTTTGAAATACACTTTAAAGATATTTTAAGAATGGCAACCTTCAGCTGAATTTAGAATAATAGTGACGATCTGGGTATTCTGTCTATCCTTGTAGCCGAGACTGAAATGAAATGGGAATTAAATGCCAGGGCAATTCTACTAGGTAATAACTGATGCACCAATAATTGATGCGTGTTTTTCTTTGTCTACCTGACATATATTCTATAGTCCTGGACTTTTCTCATGTTATAAACACGCATCAGGCAGAAGTCATTGAAATAAAAGAAGAAGAATGTAAGCATAGACTATCAATATCATTCTCTTGACACTCACTGTTTGTTGACAGTTTTCAGAGTTCTATCAGCTTCAGATGTCATCCAGCATGGCCAGCATCCTTCTCCAACTGTAAAGTTACTGTCACATAAAAATAACTAGTATCATCCACACTCTCTCCCAAACCATATTTGGAAAACTCTCATTGGCATTGCCAAGCATCTGCTCCTCTTTAAATGAGCAACTGAAAGTTGGCTAGATGGTGTGCAATATTTTAAAAAAATGAATGAACAAATTAAAACAATGATGTCTTTTGATTTTTCTAGCAATGGTTTTGAAGCTGCTTAGTCAAGGGATATTTATTCAAATTCATAATTTTTCCCCTCAGCATCAGCTAAAGCACGACTTAGGTAACTTATCCCTGTTGTAATGTTTTACATCATGTAGCAGTGTTTATGGTACATTATCTAGTATATAAGCATGCCAGTGTTCTTTCATACTAGATGGTTCTAATGGCTGCTCCTCTTTCCGTTGAGTCCTATATTCTGCCATTTAAATGGTCTCATTACCTTGAAATTTATGAACTTTTACAAGATACCACATCAATTTGGAATAGTTCACTGCTTTTTAAAAAATGGTGCTGGGCATAGAACCCAGACCTGAGCATGCAGGCAGGTGCTCTACCTTTGAGCTCTATGTCAAATTTCCATTTTTTAATATTTTTTTCACTGTGTCTGTCAAATATTTTCTTTCTTTCAGTTGTTTCAAGATTGACTGCTCCTGAAACTGGCTTAAAAATAAAGAACTCTTCTTCTCATGTTCTCAGCAACATAGTTTGTTGGCTACTATATAAGATAATATGACAACATGTACTCTAAAGAATATGAAGAAGTGCCTCTTAAAAGTAGAAGAAAGCATCGGTAACAACTTACTCAGTTTATTTGCACACTCTTCTAACAAAATCAACATATTCTTCAGTATTGTGAGGGCAACATGTAGATATTTTTGAAGAAGAATATCTAAGGGTGTGGTTTAAGAATGTTCATACAGTATTTGTTGTGCAAGATCAATGCAGTAACTTCATTCCAAATGCGATTTACCATAGAGTACTATGTTAAAACAGGATAAAGGCATTAAGTAGAGTTTTTCAAGCAAGGTGTTGACAAGGGCATGCATGATATTATTTCGGCAATAGTTTGCATTTGTGTAGGGACGAGCATTCCATAAGCCATTTCATAGAAAATGAGTATTTACACTATTAAAATTTCCATATCCCTAAGAAAGAAAAACATGTAAGATGTCCTCTTTAGTATATGTCTGCAGGTCACATAGTTAAACCAAGCATTTAAGGTTTCTGCAGCATTCTTAAGGGAACAGAATGGACTGTATAGTACCATGAAAAGGAGAATCATTTTAGGCCTCATGTTAGAAGGAAACCTTTATAGACATGGCAGGCTGTTTCTATTTCTGCACAGAAATTCAAGTTTATAGCCAGACCTATGGTCTGTCCTTAAGGACATTTTTATTAAGGAAATCTGATGAGAGACTTAATACTTCTGATGCTTTATTAAAACTGCCTGGTTGGGTTAGTTCATTTTATTTTTTTGCTTCTGTCATTCACTGCATATTTATTAAGGATTCCTTAAACTGTTACCCTGAGCCATGAGGGCATTCCAGAAAGACTCTCAACATACACAGTAAAGTGACCCAAGTCCCAGCATGTGCTATTTCAGCTTTTAGGTGACATCAGTAGGCCACAGGCTGATATTCCAGGTTAGACCTGCTGTGTGCACAGGTAGCCAGAAATAGCTGTGTGCTCATCAAACCCTTGAGGCCGCCACTGGAACGGGTACACATGTTTTCTTGTTTTTAATTGAGAAAATAGCTTTCTGTATGTTACTATAGTGATTAGTCACTGTTTAGCATTTGAAGCTGCCATGGAAAGAGGCACATATCGGGGATAAATGGACTTTTCTTGTTTTCAGTTGAGAAAATGAGCGTCCTATAGAGTACTGTAATGGTTGGTCACTGCTTAGCACTTTAGATTGGGAAAATAGAAATACAAACAGGTCTGAAGTATGAAGTTATTAACTCACTGCCTTTGAAGTCTGAAGAAGAGCTTTCATACATTCAATATTTTAGCTTATAAAAAAAAAAAACTAGAGGTTACTTAGTGCCACACATAATGCTCTGAAGCTTGTTATTTGAGAAATATGGAAATAAATCCACCTAAACTGTAGGAAGATCATAAAACTGCATTTCTTTGTAGTGAAATGCTCAAATTGGACCTTTTTTGTGTAGAGGAGTACAATGTTATTGTAAAAATGAAGATCCTTTAGAAACCAAATAGTTGTGGCTACGATAACTGCACTTTACGGTAAGAGGTGGGAAGCGTTGACAGTGTTGGTGTTTGTCAGGGTTTGACAGAGTTTCAGATCACCATGCAAATATTTCCGCCCTTTCTGTTTTCAGAATTTCTGATTATGTAAACATTATTTTTCTGTGACTATATTGGACCTACAGAAGACATAATGAAATTTTAACAACATGTTTAGCATGGACAAGTCCCAACCTATTTTGAAAAATCCCAATGATCTATCCATAAATGATTTGCATATCACAGGTTCAAGCCATTGTCTTATTTCTGATCTAGTTTTGTTTTACATTTTTGTGTCATTGCATGATGTTTTTAGTTGTAATTTTTATAATAAAATAAATTTTAAAAATTAAAAATGAAGCTCAAAATATGCGTTTTTGTCTCCAAAGTTCCACTCATATCTAAGACAAAATTATCCAAGTGTTTCAAAAGTACCAAACACTGTATTATTGACTTAGATGTAATAACTGTTGCTATTATACATTGTTTGTGTTGCACTACACATTATTTACTATTTGATCTCTTGAGAGGGTTCTTTGTGACAAAGCATTATGATAAAACATATCTCATACATTCTAAGAGACAGGAAATCTTGCCAGACTTCACAAAGTTTATCATATACCTTGACGTTACTGAAGATTTAAGACTGCTCTCCTACTGTGTGCTCAGCCTGCTTGTGTCATTTTCTATTAAGAGAACAATGTAATGATCAACCTTTCTCGTCTTGGATTTCCCATGGAATCAACTTGTCCAACCTAAGATAACGCATAGCTGCAATCTTAAGTTATGTACTCTTCCACGCCTCGAATATAGTTTGTATCATTATCATTTGCTGACAGCAACAGCTACAGAGATTGAAAACAATCTTCTAAAATGAATATCCATCGTACACTTGAATATTTGTTGAGAAACAATGA